CTGGGGGGGGGGAGGGGGAGGCGTTTTTTTTTTTTTTTTTTGGAGAACGGGCGAAAATCCGTGCGCGCGCAGGATGTCATCCATAAAATTAAAAAAGTGTGGCCTAAGTGTAGACGCAAAGCCCCTTGTAGAGATACAGTTTAAATATTTATAAAAACGTCCTTACGTCATGTCTAATTTACCATGACTGAACCACTAAAAAATATATCGGAACGCGGCATAAAAATGCAAATTAAATGGCAAGAACATACGTTACCGTACGGTTTTTTGGAACATACGTTACCATACAGGGGGTATAAGGCTCTTTGCGTAATGTTAAAGACATGGTAAAATTTAAAAATTGAATTTCAGTTGAGACAGTCGTGGATTTTTGTTCTATACACATATATGTTTTGAAATATTGTATACAATTTGGAATTCATTCATTTTTATTTTTTGACACTTCAGCATGTGAAATGCACCTCTATATTGGGTTTGGGTGAAGAACATTGGGTTCTGTTTCCGGTGGTAGGTTTTGGGTGCCTTGGGCTTTGCCTCTGTGTTGGTACACCAGTCTGGGCATATCACTGTTAGACAGTGCAGTGCATTTCATGTGACACAATAAGCTATCTGTCAATGTCTATAGATCTGTTTTGCGCCATTCTGGCACACACTTCTTCACTCAGTTTTTGCTACTTATATACAAAATTTCTATATCTACTGTGCAGGCGATGCCGAAATATTGAGAAGTTTTTGATTGAACCATGCTCGTAGAGTATTACTTGGACAAGCACAAAGAGTACTACCCAAGGAAATCACCAAACATTAGGCCTACGTAATACAACAGTGCTTCACACAAGACAATAAGATAATTGGTACTGACAAACCTGACTACTTATTTCTCTATTCGCATATTTCACCTTCCCCCAAAAATAATACTTTTTGCCTTGGTATACCTTTAAATCTAAAATATTTATTAAATGTCGAGGCTGTATATGTTGGGTAGCAAGTGAGTATCTTTGGACATTTTGCAAAAATCCAAGATGGACGTCAATGTGCTCCACTGATTGACCTTGATAGAAGGCTTAATCATAGTCAGGAATTACTCTTTACGAAATAGCTTAAATTATTGAAAAACAAGGCAACTTAACGATTTGACAAGTAGCAGTTTGGATTGAAAAGTAGACACAAGAAGTCCCCAAGTTGTTATCTTCTTCACTAAAAGACCTTACTCACAGGCCTTTTAATTTTATTACAGTCCGTCAAAAGAGAGATCGCCAACGAGAGTATTTCATTCGAGCAACGAATGCAGCAGCTGGAGGCAAGAATTAAAGCCTTGGAATTAGAGGTTTCTCGGTTTACTGAGACTGCACAGTTACCAGTAAGAAGTAAGAGGATATATGGCAAGACCGACACAGCACTGCTTCTTGTCCTATCCTATCCCGCAGTCTGGTTGACCGTAGGAACGCCACTTTAGGATTTTGCCAACAGCTCTCTCCTTTCCCATCTGTCGTCTTCTTTTCTGAGGATGCTGATCAATCTTAGCCCTGTTCATTCTTTGATATTTTTCTCTTTATTTGCGCTGCTTAGGATCAAATTAAAAGAAAAACTATTATATATCTCGACACTGCGTGCGTCATATAAAACCTTGCTCACCACTCTTTTTCTATTTTTTGGTCTGAGCGTGTTGTTTAGATCAAGACAAGGTCAATAATGATATGGTGACGAGTGAGTGAGTGTCGGACTCAGCAGTGCAGCACTATGAAAAGTTTTTTTAACCTTATACGTAAACTATGGTCAGGCACTAAAATCCTTATTATTATACTGTGATCATTTATTAAGACCTGTCGATTTCGAAGATGAATGAACAAGTCAGTTAGTGTATCCTTTTAGGTCCTCCGGGCTTTCCGGGATCATCGGAGATCCCTAGGATTCCTGGCACTAATGGCATTCCTGGCCCGCCCGGAAACGGAGAAAAGGGCAACCCTGGATGGCTAGGTCCGGAAGGGGAAATAGAGATGATAGGAGGGAGAAGCATAATGGAGTCGGCTGGACTCACCGGAGAACTCGACGGATGTGGATGTAAGGGCGAAAAAGGAGAGGTGGGGGCTCCAGGCATTCGAGGTCCAGTAGGCTCCATTGGATTTCCTGGTCCCCGAGGTATGCTGGGGAGAATCAGTGACTTTTACGATATTTGGTTATGAGAATGAATAACAACAATGAAATACTAATAATAAAACCACTTTTAAGGTAGTAAGTGGTATGTAAAAAAAACTTCATTACAAAAAGATTATTCAACTGACCTATATCTTATTTGAAATGAGATAGAAGAATGCCATATTCTTTTTATTTTTACGAAAGGCACATTAGCGTTCACAATTCGAAATGCGATTTTATTCAACTTTTTAAAAAATATTAAAATTTGAATTAAAATACAAACGTGTTTAAGTTTGTTTAAGCTTGTATTTTTGTGGATGACATTATACGCATTAGTCATATTTAATAAAAAAAAGTTATCGGTAAAAATTCCAATTGATCATGCAAAACATGAAATGAAATTGCTTGTAATTTGTTAATCTAGACTTTTAATCCAGACTTTGATTAAGTTTCTTCATTATTTAGGTTTACCTGGCCTTAGAGGTCCACCTGGTCCCCCTGGTCCCCCGGGCGCCGACTGCGTTCATGAAGATAGCTACACTATACACGATGTAGCACCTCGCTATAGCCCAACAGAGCAATCAGGTTCTAGAGGGTTTTCTGTGTATTCTGCTTTATATTCAGTATCGGCGAATATCTTATACTATACACAATAATAATACAATCGACCAAAAAAGTTCGGAAACATGAAATTGTTTTTCAATAATTAAAAAATATCATGCATTTGGAAAACCTTCAATGTGTAAAAAGGTAGCAAATGGTGGGTGCATTATCCATCAGCATTTGGTTAAAATATTTACCTAAGCTCATTTGGTTATTTTATAATTATTCAAAATAGTGATGTTTCCAAATTTTTGGTAGATTGACATGTATGAATATAATCATCAGAAAAATACACACGGTGTGAAGCTGACATAAACTGATAAAAAAATTAAGATATTGCATACTTTGTCTATCGATTTGATGTGTTGTGCTGTTATGCGATTTACGTCATAATATATATATATATTCAAATGTCAACAAAATGGTAATTGTCATGGATAAATACTCTTTCCAATTTCCAATTATTAGAAAATCCCAAGCAGGAATGGCGTCTCCGTTTGGTAAATGGAAGAACGCCATACCGGGGGCGTGTTGAAATCTTAGTGGATGGCCAGTGGGGTACCGTGTGCGATAATAACTTTAATATCAATGCCGCCAGGGTAGTTTGCAAGCAGCTCAACCTCCCTCATTCTAGCCCAGCTGTCCAAGTTGGTGCCCACTATGGTGCGGGCGAGGGGCCTGTTTGGATACAAAATGTCTCCTGCAACGGCACAGAGGCCAGATTGGATCTGTGCCGACACAGTGTGCGTGGTAGTGTCTCCTGCTCCCACCAGAGGGACGTGGGGGTTACCTACTTGTAACCAGGAAACGCTTGTCGTCGATTTTAATCTTAAAAGAGGATAAAGTGTAACTATATAATGCTTTGGTCATATTCAGTAAAATGAGCAAAACAAGTACATGTTTTACTTCATGAAAATGAATAAAAGTAGTACATATCATCACAATACTGACTGTCTAAATATATATCCGTTTGTAATGGCAAACATTAACGAAGGGTTGGACGATGCTTTATTTTCTTTTAGGCTTATGCATGCGAAAAATTAACTTTTTGGCGATGTTAGTTTTTTTTTTTTTTTTTTTTTTTTTTTTTTTTTTTTTTTTTTTTTTTTTTTTTTTTTTTTTTTTGTTTTAGATTGGTGCAGTTGGGACAGGAACATGCTATTTCAATATTTAATAAATATTTGTAAAGAAAGCATATGCCTTTTCTTTTTTTACCCATTAATTTAATTTCACAGGAAAATGTTTACTGCGTATATTTTCCTATCTCTCATACCCAGGAAGTAACGGTACCACATCACGCTTAAAACTTGTATTGTTTCCTTTGTTATGTCATGTCTCCACCAAAGATGACTTTTGAAGTGAATATTTAACTCATAAAGCACCACACTTCCTCGTGTCCTGGTGGTATGTATGTATGTATGTATAATAAGACCTCCCTGCCCCTCTGAACAGATGATGATATGTAGAAATGAAAAAAAAAAATTAGGAAAAAGTCACATAATTTATCGCTATTTTCCCCATTCTAATTTTGACACTATACATACATGTACATGTATGCTTATTGTGATGAGTGGCTTATAACTTAAGACTGTCAGCGACTGCTGCCAAAAAACTTAAAAATATAATATAGGATTAACTCCTTTCGTGCTAAAAAGACCTGACATGTTGTAGAAGGAAGCATATAATGAGTAACAAGATAAATAACTGGCAAAAATGACCTTTGAACATCCGTCATGTGAGAGTCAAAATTTCCGTTATTTCGATATATATTTCAATACAACAGTGCGCAGGGGTTCAGACATTTGTTTTAAAGTTATTTACTTCAAAAAAAAAGATGAAAATCATCGGTTCAAAATTTGAATTATATATTTTATTAGTTATTATCCACTTTGTTCAAAGTCAGCCAACGACGGAATATGAGGTAATGCATTCTGAAAGAGACGGTTTCGTAGAAGGAGCAGATCATCGATGGAATCTCCTACTTGCCCAGGAAAGAGAAGCGTTTTCTGAAGCAGAAATTCTGGTGAGAATTTGTTTGTTATTCGAAAAGTATAGGGGCCTAACGGTTTTACATGGATGACGATTATTTGACAATACTTTACACCTCTTAGTTATCTTTCATGCTAACCGCTATTGAAATATTTTATAATTATTTTATAATATTTTTTATTTAAATTCAAAAATACGTATTTTTCATTAAAAGTCGAAAGATTCATGAAATGTCAGTAAAGGGTGATTGGGGTAAATCTGAAGCAAGTAAATTTTTACGTGATAAAGGAAACACGTGAAAATTGAATAGATTGAGAAGATCTTAACAGGATGTTCATTGTTAATAATGTTATTACTCACACAAAATTCATACCACGTTTTTTTTTAAAAATAAAATAATACCCCCACCCCAACCCCCATTGAAGACAGATATTCATCTGATGAGAAACCAGTCATCCAAACGGCGGTGTTTCTGTTTTACGTATGCATCTTTGAACATAAGGAGTGTCTCGGAACAATAACTGCCAAGTACGTTAAGAATGGGACTACATGTATATAAGCCTGCCAATCGGTCCAGGTTAATCGATTCTTAATAGTAGAACTACTGATACCTACTGCCGGAGAAAAGGAGGGGTGGGGAGGGGGTTCTTAGAAAGCCATGTGTGCAAACGCATGTGCAATCGACGTATTGCTACCCCTGCCTCCCCCCAATCCTCACCTTAATTTTAGGAAACGCTTTTAAACTGAAATCCTGCTTTTATTGGCTCCATACCCAAGATTTTCCTACCCCCAAGTCTGTTCTAAATTTAACAGCAGTACAGAAACTTTTTGTAAATGAAAAATAAACCTCCAGGATCTTATCAAATTGATTCTGACACCAAGGGCATTTAAACCTCCACGTGCAGTGTTTTCACATTGAAACTTGGCCGCACGCAGTATGTGGCCTATTGTTTTCTTCCTTCATTTAATTTCAGCAGCGCTTCTTTACATTAGAATCCGGATTTATCAAACAGAACCAGCTTTAGATCGTTATTGAACCCGTGACATAGGGACCGTTCCCACAGATATTTGGATCGATCTATCTCCCTGGGGAGTCTCACTAAATTGCTGTCAACATGACCGGCTTAAATGTCTGTCACGCTTAGTAGAGCTGTTAGGGGATAATTATCTCTACCACCTAGCTGATTCGGTAGGCGTGACAGACATTTAAGCCGGTAAGTTGACAGCAATTTAGTGAGACTCCCCAGGGAGTTAGATTGATCCAGATGGGTAGATCTAAGCATGGGAACCCAGTCATAGATTCTGTTACCATCCCTGGTTCGATCTAACAGGATCGGTCCGTCTCCACGACGTCTCTCAATAAATTGCTTTCAGCCCAAGCGGCTTAGACGTCTTGGACGCCCACTAAAGCTGCTAAACGATAGTTAATTACCCCCTATCAGCCTCAGCAGGCGTGACAGACATCTAAGCAGCCCAAGTTAATTGCAATTAAGGGAGAATCCCCTCGGAGATATGTCAATCCAAAGTTAGTACAACAGGATCTGGTAATGGCTTCTTATACAATTGTGTGTGTGCGTGCGTGTGTGTGTGTCGCACGCCAAATCCCTATTCAGGCAGATTCTAAAACAGCCTAGGCACAATCCACAACTGAAAGTATTGCATTGATTGTTAACAGCATTAGTTAATTGGTCTTGTTTATGAATTTCTGAATCATCGGTTTATATGAAATTGCCATTTTGTTGCCTCGTTCCTGATCTATAAGTAAGTAATTTAAGAGAGAGGATGAGAAAGAGAGAAAATTGTTTGATTTTCTGCGTTGAACTAAAAAAACTAAACAAGTATTAATATTATATGTAGAGTAGCAACCAGAGAGCGCAGACCTCCACCAAGGCAACTCAGTTTTCATTATTAACATGTTTTATTTATCAGTTAATGTATAAGCTTAATTCTCATTTTCTGAATTATTGAAATTTCACCGATAACTACATCATCTGTGGATTGATAAGCAAAAACTATGCTAGGTTGGCCCTATTGTAACGCGGCTGTTGAGAAGTGTACCTTACAAAACAGGACTTGCTTATGTAGATATCTTCAACAACAAGCTGAGTGTGAAGTAGTTTGAATCTCGGAGCTATGAGTGCAGACAGCTTCAGAGAGCGATTTATTTAAGGGGACTATTTATTAAGAGTCCCATCATTATTACCATTCAGACTAGTTCACGCGCCGTTACGTGTCCATTCAGAGTGGAACACCAGACTTTATTTAAACCACAGAGACATCTACCGGTGTGATTGCAAAGTAATCTCAACTAACGCAACAGGCCTACGACTTAGCACATCGTTACACTATCTCGCAATGCTGAGAAATCCTTTGTAAAATTCCTTAATCCAGCTGGTGATCCGAATCACCACCGACACCTGATCATTTTTAAATATACCCATTTCTGAACTATCCTCAAAATTTCATAAAAAATATCCATGACAAACAGACAAGTGGAGGTGGAAACATAACCTACTTGGCAGAGGTTACTTTTGAGAACTCAAAAGAATAGTTCCCTCTAGTTCCCTGCTTAAGCTGTTGCTTTTGCTTGTAGTGCATTGGTTTGTTAGTCTACGTAAAAAAATATGGACGGATTTTTCTTTTTTTTTTTTTGATAAATTATCTTAGAACTTCTGACATGATGAAATTTTTTTAGAACTTAGAATCCAGTAGATACTAATTGGTATATATCATCAGAAAAATACACACGGTGAAGTAAATTGCTTCATTGATGAAGAGAACTGCGCTGGACGTCTCAGCGGTGATATGCACTCTCTGAGCACTTCTCTGATTTTGTAGGGAATCAAAAGAACTCTTCATGAATTCCGAGAAGAGAAAAAAATCCTAGAAGAGAGAATAAGTAAACTGGAGGCCACAAACAATGAGTTGCAATTAACGGTTTCTCGCATAAACGAGACGTCACTACCGCCCATTCAAGGTAAGAAGAAAAGGACTCATTAACAGCTTTTAAAGTAAATTTCAATATTTATGCCGAACGTGTTCAAGGAAGTTATGTTAAAATATGTCACGTACAGCAGAAAAGAAAAGAAGTATAGATGCTCTTAAAAATACCAGATAATTTTGTAAAATGTACGATTTTGGAAATCACTATAGCCGTAACTGTTACAAAAACATCATTATGATTCTTAAGCTTTACCTCTGCAGTAATACATTATACACATGTACAACCACGACATGGTATTTCATTGTTGTTTTTTATCTGAACTTATCCATACCAGGAAAGATGATATGTTAATTTTGGCAGGGGGGACATAGACGTTTGTGGGCCAATAAATCTATCAATATTTTTAAAATTTGATTTGATTTAAATTGTTTTTATTATCCACTAAAAATATTAAGCAAAATTTAGAAATTTGCTGTTTGTAAAATATACAGTATGAATGAAGATTTGGAAATGCCTGTTTAAAGTCGAGCCCTTGTTGAACTTTTAAATTGTCTGTTGAATAATAATCTTAAAATCTACCATTTTATTTAAGGCCTCTATCTTATAACGAAAAGGAGGTCGAAATTTGTGTTGTTGTTGTTTTTTTTTAATTCCATGTCCATAAACTAAGTCTACCACAACAGGAGAGAAATTAATAACAATCCACTTAAGCCAATGTCATTTTATATCATTTAGGTCCTCCCGGTCCTCCAGGCAATACGGGTCTCCCTGGTATACCAGGTACAAAAGGTCCAAAGGGGGACAGAGGGCCCCGAGGAGACCCTGGCCCTCATGGTAACCCTGGAGAGACGGGACCCCAAGGGTCACCGGGTCTGCGAGGGGCTCCTGGAATTCCAGGTTCTCCTGGATTGAACGGACCTAAGGGTTCCGGAGGGGAACGTGGTGCCCCGGGTTCACCAGGACAACCTGGTCCGAAGGGAAGAACAGGAAAGCCAGGACCAAAGGGTAACCGCGGAGATACGGGTGGTGAGGGGCCACCGGGTGGCACTGGGCCGGGTGGACCCCGTGGAGAAGCCGGTAGTCCTGGACTTAAAGGTGATAAGGGAGAGAACGGTAGTCAAGGAATAAAAGGACAGCGAGGGTTACCTGGATTAACTGGCCTGCCAGGAATCAAGGGTGCAAAAGGCGACGTCGGATCGAGAGGACCGACAGGTTTGCCAGGTGTACATGGTCCAAAGGGGGTGCTAGGTTCAAAAGGATCAAAAGGAGACACTGGAGATATTGGATTGCCGGGGATAAAGGGTGAATCCGGCATTAGAGGAACTAGGGGACAGAAAGGGGAACGAGGTATCCCAGGGCCCGCAGGTCCAAAAGGTAATCAAGGTAACAAAGGGATGAAGGGGGTCAAAGGAGCCATAGGACCACAAGGCCCCAAAGGACAAACTGGGAGATCTGGCACCATGAGCAAGGGCATCAAAGGAGAGGCTGGACCTCCTGGTAGAAGAGGAATGAAAGGCGAAATGGGCCCAATCGGACCAAACGGAATCCCAGGGCGCCCAGGACCTGCAGGTGCCAAAGGATCAAAGGGCGTTAAAGGGCAGCAAGGGTCATCAGGGCTAAAGGGTGAACGCGGAGTTGCAGGCACTCCAGGCCAGGCAGGGACTCCTGGTGCCAGAGGACCAAAAGGCCAGAAAGGTCAAAACGGTTCTCCTGGACCACGAGGTCTGAAAGGGACATCTGGAATACAGGGCCCTAGAGGACCACAAGGTCCACGGGGTTTACAGGGAACAAAGGGGGCATTTGGACCGAGAGGACAGAAAGGTGCAACAGGTGCGAAAGGAGGTCTTGGACCCCGTGGCACTACCGGACCAAAAGGCCTCCCAGGTGCAGTAGGGTTGAAAGGTAGCCCGGGGCCTCGCGGGCTGTCAGGAGCAGCAGGGCTAAAAGGAGCAAAAGGAGCCCCCGGTCCAAGAGGTTTGAAAGGGGCAAATGGTTCTAAGGGGAATCAAGGACCACGTGGAATGCCTGGTCCTAAAGGAGTTAAGGGTTCCACAGGAGCCAGGGGCAGTACTGGGACCAAAGGACAGAAAGGTCAGCCTGGTACCCGTGGTCTTAAAGGTTTGCGTGGGTCACCGGGGCCTCGGGGACCTGCTGGTCCAAGAGGGGCAACTGGTCCAAAGGGCCTCAAAGGAGATAGTGGGATCAGGGTCAACTCGACGTGAGTTGCCTTTTCGTAAGAAATTTAACCTTGTTTACATCTATTTGTCATAACCGAGCATATTTGCAAAGAAATAAGTTCCGCAATTTATACAAAGTGGAATAATTTCCAGTTGAGATAAACCTGGTACCTTTGCGTTCATTGACTTAGTTTATCAGTTCACCTCGTTTTCTAACCCGAGTATGGTACTATAGTATTTATTGTTCATAACTCAGTGATATCAAATTGTTGTAATTTAAATAAGGCTAATGTATTTGGAACTTAAAAACTTGAATTTTACCCTGCAGTTATCCGTCTGGTCGGTGGCAGAGCATCCTACCAGGGGCGAGTTGAAATCTTCCACAACGGCCGATGGGGGACCGTGTGTGACGACAGCTTCAGTACCGTAGACGCCAGAGTGGTCTGTAGGCAACTAGGTCTCCCATACAGTAGAGTGACAGTTCAGGCCTCAGCAGGCTACGGAAGGGGCAGCGGACCAATTTGGTTGGATGACGTCGGCTGCAGAGGCACGGAGGCTAGATTAGAGCTTTGCAGTCACAGGGGTTGGGGCACCAATGACTGCAGCCACAGTGAGGATGTCGGCGTGACCTGCAGATAAATAGTCTTCGTGACATTACGAGAGGACACGTGAACAGTGATTTGAGAGGTCAAAAAGCTGCAACAATAGGCCTACTTACCCGGTACTGCATGACTTTTAAAACATGATTTTGCGAATAGGCAGTTTATAAGTGCACTGCGTACGTACTCCAAGACAACAAAATTTGCGAATGCAGGACATTTCTATGTTCAAGGCTGGCCTAAATGTTATACAACTTAAATGTCTTTATAACGATTTTTTAGTTTTATAATTATATGTAGACGCAGGGAAAATGTCATTTTTAAAAGTTGAGATTTGATGTACATTTGAACCATAACGACAATAGTAGATAGGTAAAACGTTTATGCCATTTTAATTAAACCGCCATAAAGTCTGTTCTAACTAATACATTTGAATATAGTAGTTAAATCTACAAATGGGATTTTGTACATAAAATATACCCAAGATTGTAGAAAAATTACTCCTGTTTGTTCAACCGAGATTTTGCAAATTAATAGTAAACAAAATAGATAAGCTGAAATGAATTGCATGTTTTTTAATGCCAAAATGGTTCAATTATTGACCAAACAATTATCAAAACCACTACAAGTGGACTTTTGAGTCTTTGTAAATTGCCTTGCAAAATTATGATTTATTGATTTTTGTGGGGGTGTCGGTAAAAAGTTGTCACAATGTGCACAAAATGGGTTTTATTTTTGATTGAATGTCTTAGAGAAGAATTTGGATTAACGTTTTATATTTCATATGTATATTGTTAAAAAATATCTACACTGTAGATAGATGAGAGGAATAAGCACATGTATAATAAGGTGACTGTTTGCTGCGGAAGATAACATTTTGTATATATCTCTGTTTGGAGGATAACATTTTTATTTTTATGTTTAAAGGGACACTAATCGAATATTTCAGCCTATTTAGGGTTTGAAAAACCTGTGTGAAACTGTTCTCACTTTAAATCCTTCCCGTAGTTGCATTAAATATATTTTCTTAAGGTTATGACACATACCAGTCGTTTCCATGTGTCACCTACAAACTTTGATTGATCAGACTGAATATGATTGTAGAAATACATTGAAAAAACGAAGGTCATTAAACGCTCTTCTACATGTATTTGAGCTATAGACCAGTGAAATGTCATCTACAGATAGACCAAGCCGAAATGCAATAAAACATTAAAAAAAAATAGTGGCAATTTGAGGTAAAATTTGGTCCCAGCAATCTCGCACTGCTTTAGTGGAGTATTTCAATGCAAGTGAAGTTACTGAAATATTCTGATTTTTATGTGGGCCAAAACATATTAACAACCGTTTCTTTTCAATGTTAAAATAAACAGAAGTGGTTGAAGATGTGCGTGCAAAGCGTGGGCTCTACCACTGAGCTACGTTCCCTTTCGACTTGGTAATGTAGCAATTAGACTGCATGTTCTGCAGGATTTTTATACATCTTTCAATATCTCGGCATAATATTCTTTTCATGCCTACTTACATTAGCCTTAAAAACATTGACTTGCTTGAGACTTACAGTGAAAATACTGAATTTAAACAACAAAAAATCCCATCACTTATAGTATTTCCATACTATACGCAACAGTACATCTTTTCATCTTCAGTTACACAACTGTACAATACTATTATTGTGTATTTATAAACGTTATAACACCCCATCATCATCAATCGGTTGATAGCCTATTCCATCAATCATTTCAAGTTTCAATCACAAAGTACGCAAAGATCAATACATGATAGAGCAATATAATAGTACACAGTGTCAATAATCATGAAGCCAGCGGGGAAACGATAACTTTTTTTATTCCATTAATATATTTTTCATGAATTGAGATGATATTTTAAAACAACTTTTAATAATATGAAAAATGAGAAACATAAAGAGATGATTCCAAACAAACGCTGTTTATAAAATGAAAAATGCAGAATTTCAATATTTAATCCGAATCCTGCACACATTGCAAAAAAATTATCTAAAAAGAATGAAGCTGGTTTTGGCAAGTGAGATAACAGTAACAAGCATGACTTTAAGTTTCAATAGGGGTTTTTGCCCCAAGCACTATGCCTGTAAGCCCGACAACTTATAAAATCGAAATACTATGCATACCTGTAATTAATGTACCATACGTTTCAACATTTGATATTACAAAAAATTACTTCACTCAAAAGACGGCTGCCTGCGTAAGCTATTACGTTGTAAGGAGAGCTCACCAGCGAAAGGTTGCTGTAATGTATTAGTTCGGACACAGAAACTGACCAGGCAAGTACCGTGGGATAAATGTGTGATTTAGCATCAGACTCAGTCTAGTGAGGTTTTAGAGTCAAGGTATCTCGTGGAAGGAGATAAAAATCAAAGTGACGCGTTTACACCGACGTTGGTGACACATAAATGTGCAGTACGTGAAACGGAGTTGGCACAGATTTACAAGATTTTTTCCCGTAGAAGGACATGCGTCAATCAGGCATGGAGGCTTTCGTGTTTCACATTTTGTTTCAAGTTTCTCTCCGCGGCACATGTTAAGCTGCATTAGTTTGACCATCGTACAGACGTCTTACTCGGTAAGGAAAACACCAAGGACATGTAAGTACACACATTCTTTGAAAAGTATAATCAATGAAGCTCAAACAAATTTAATTCACACTCTGCATTCTGTTTTTTTATTATAATTGATGAACCATTTATATCGATTCAGTGTCAGAAAACCTAAGAATAAACTTAGGGTGCTTTAAGCAGATATGATGTACTTTTTTAGTTGATTTTTGTAATAATAGTATAATCTTAATCTTATTGAAAAATTTCCCCATCCTCTTAGGCATTAAAGAGACTTACGCAAACGTCATACTTGGGAGATTAGTGTCGTTCGGATGCATGGAAGACCTACAATCGGCGAACGGACTCTATTACTGGACTGTTTATTGACGGGTTTCAACCGTTGTCAATAAGATGACTTTATGAGTTGTCAGAATTTTAAAGGGAATTCTTGATCCATTGTGGAAAAAAGGTTCCATCATTTATGGCCAGCTAGTAGCATTCCTCTACGTGCTTCAGGTAAACAATTGGATTTATTGTTTGCATTAATGGCAGGTAAACTGTCAGCTGTCTGCGTCATCATACCTGTATAAATACTGAGTTATCTCGCGAGAAGATTTATAACTAAGCGGACTATCATGCTCTGTAGGTGGTTCAAAGCATTCAAACTTGCTTTCTGGATATACCGCACGACGAAATGAATATATAAAATGATGAAACTGTGGTGAAATAATGAAATTTTTATGATTTGGTCGGCTCAAAAGACAATTTCAAGTTGAATGCAGGTGCATAACAATGGACCAAGGTTTAATTCCACATTATTACTTTAGATATTGCCTGCCATAAGTGGCATTAATTGAAGACCTACAGATTTGTCAACGTGGGTATCTCTAGAGGATCGTCAAGTGGGATGCGTGAGTAGTTTTGTCCGCGAAATGGAAACATCGGTATTAATAAGGAGGGTCTGAACACAATATTCAAATACTAGATGGTCTAGGATTATTATCGACCTGCGTTATTTTATTGACGGGCTTTTTAAACTGTTTATTGAACTGTTTACATTGGGGAGGAATGTAAAAACACACCTTTCTGAGCGATGAGAAAAAACAGTGTGTGATCTGCTCACACTCAGCTCAAATCGTACTTCATGATTTCATCGAAGATGATACCAGTTTGTAATGGGACGGTCGATGTAAATCCGTTCCATTGACACCCACTGTTTAATTCGACGGCAACTTTTGTCAAGACCTAGAGAATCTGTTGTCTTCTTTAGGGATAAAATGTGAACTCTGATAGGTTTTGTGCAAGAGCACAAGGCATTTGACGTTACACGCTGTTCCAATTGCCTCCTGTTAAGTTTTTATGCTTTAGGTTCGTTGCATCAATTATATACAATCAAAGCCTCCAGGTGTATGGTATTTTTGGATTTCTTTAAACATCAAGGACCGCCAACTTGGCTATGTCTAGCATTTGGGATATTTCTACAAATGTCACAAAGAAAAGAGTAAAGAGGAAATGACAAGCTAACCAATTGTCCTTTCGAACATGAGGTGAATTTCTAAGAAAAGTCGAGATAATTTGCTCTGTTTTGATGAGCAACTTCAGGATCTAAATTGGTTTCTCGGATTCTGTTTGGATTGCTTTGCAAGTTTCTTCAGGCAATCCATTCGAAAATCATATTTCCAGCCCATCGCAGCAGGATTTTCACCATTATAAGTGCATGAAGAAGAAATTATAGATTACCAAAGTTATATCTTTGGAAAAAACGCCTGGGTGTTGTGTATATATCAAAGGAGACTATCCCAACATTTGGTTGCCAAATCTGCCTCTAGGTTCAAAAGGGGTGGGCTAATTTGTTGTTAAACACAGCGGAAATCAATACTTTATTAGTTGTTACGTTCAGCGTGCAGTTTTCCTAGAGCACACGGTTTCGTTTGACGCCTAAGCGTTGAAGCAAGAAAAACCATATGTTCTCGCTTACAAATTCCAGAAACGTTACATGTTAATACAAGCGTTATTATGGCTAAACATATGAACATCGTTCTGATTTTTCGTCTTTGAACGGACAGAACTTGTTTGAAATAACATCAACATCGCCGTATCCTTTGAAGAGTCTGAAAAATAAATAAAAGACCGCACGTGCATGCCAATCACTGGTAATTAAGACAATGGAAAGATGGGGCGGAATGTGAGAACTTAAGAACTGTATAATCCTTAATGGTTTGGGAATTGAGCGACCTGCAATACATCGACCTTTGGGAATCGCAGTTCAGTCACTGTAATCTCACAAGAACTTCACAGAAGACACAGCGGAGAAAAATACTCACAAGGTTGATTGACTGTGGTATCCTTTATCTAATGGCATAATGTAATGCCCGTGCACGATAATTGACTCAGCTGCTGAAAATAACAAAACCGCAAGATCGGACCAACTACTTCATAACCTTGTAACCAATATATAGTTTGACGTTACGTGATGTTGCGCTATTCTTAACCGGCGTGGCCCTCTACATTAACATATGCCGCAACACATCCGTGGATGGATGGATGTTCAAAACGCGTGATTCCATTATCGACTTATGTAATAAGACTGATTAATTTCCAAACAAATCTGACAGCTGTCGATAATCAAGAGGTGGAACAAATTTGCAGTTAGCGGTGGACGCGTTGCTTGCAGTAATTGCAACGACTCTCTGTTTGATTAAGGCAATCAACTTTTGAACGGGTTATGATATTGAGCGGACACTGTGAGCATTTCACGCCGAAACAGCGATACCTGAAATCAGTTTTCAATGACCAGTTACTACACGTGAACTTATTATACAGGTACCCGAATGCAGAGGCGGTTGGGTCAGTCGAGCACGCCTGGTCATTCTGTTTGAAGTTGTTTTATATTTCTTAATTTACAAAACTAAAAGAAATATATATAGATGCTCTTATATTGTGAGAAAACGCTGACCTACAACAACTTTGTTACAACGTATGTCAGAGTTCCTTAATACAAAAACAAACTAAATGTAGGGTTAGTTTTACCACCTGGTCTATGCTGTTGGTTTATAGGTAACGAGGTGAAAATTGAGGGTCGAGTGACTTTTGTGAAGGTTTTTTTTTTCTGTGCATCATGACGTCCTTGTATTCAAATGGTAACGCTACAAGTCTAGCTTTGGTGACAGAAGACGATATTCTCACTTTTGCGTTATGGCAACGCAACAAAGATAATACCAGCGCTTTTGATAACTCTAGTGGTGACGGAGACTGGCAGACTGATGAAAATCATTCCTTATTTATAGGTCTGGCAGTCCTGTTTTACGTGTTTTGTGGAATTGGCCTGATTGCAAATGGCGTCTCTCTGACTGCGTTGGCCTGTGTTCCAAGGCCTTTCAAACCAAAATTGATTCTTATCATGAACCTAGCTTTAACTGATCTCGCGAATTTAATCTTCGTGTTGATCATTGATATTTTACATAATCTTGGTTTACAACTGTGTGATAGTCTAATCAACACGTTTTTCTTGACATTCTTTGAGATTTCTGGGTTTACAGTTCTGGCTTTGGCGTTGGATATGTTTGTA